TCCCCCGGGCGGTGCCTCCCTGCGTCAGCTGGGTCCTGAGCCGCCCCCGGTGGGACCCGCCCTGAGTCGGGGGTCCTGCCATGTGCACAGGCCTGCGGTCACCCCTCTGCTCCGGGGAGTCCTCCTGGCCGTGGGGCGCCGACCTGTCCTGTCCCTGCAGACCCCGCTGGCGGGGTGAGGGGGGGCAGTGATGGCAGTCTCCGTCCTCAGGAAGGTCCCGCTTTGGGTGACCCTGCCTCCTGCTCACCCCCTTCTCAAGGTCGAGAACAAGGACAGGAAATGCGCTGCGGCCACCTGCGTCCTGTGCTGGCCGAAGCCAAGACTGGGTGGGGCGGGTCCGCGAATATGGCAGGTGCCCCACAGGACAAAACGAATCTGAGTGGGGGGAGGAGGGGACCCAGGGTCTTTGGGGAGGATGGGAGGGATGTCTAAGGAGGATCTGCAGGGCCTGCGGGCCCAGATAAGAAGGGAACACAGTGTCCCCCGGAGCTGGCTCCCAGGGCCAGGGCTGGGTGGGGGACACAGGGCCCTGCGTGGCTCCAGGGGCTGGTTTCGGGGTCGGGGGGAGGCAGGGAAGGGGCGCTTCAGCCCAAAGGCTCTGTCGATAGCGGGCACTGCCCTCCTCAGTAGGGGCGAGTGGAGGGGTCGCTGAAGGGAGCAGGGCCAGCGGGCTGACCCAGTGCCAGGGAAGAGGGACAGAACGGATGCCCCACAGGCGCCAGCCTCAGGGTCACAGCCAGGAAATGAGGCCGGTCCGCATCCCGTCCTGGGCCCCTACAGGCCCCTTTATTGCCGCGAGGGCCTCTGGGTCCCCGAGTCACTGAGGGAAGATAAGCTCCAACAGCATCGGAGTTGCGGGCAGAGCCCTGACCCATGGCCACGCGGCTCCGGAAGCTTCCAGCATCAGCCCCCCCCCTCCCCCCCGGCCAAGCGCCTGCAGGCCAGCTGAGGGGCGGCTCCGGAAGGTGCCGAACTCGAACCCGGGACCCCTCAGTCCGCAGGCCGACGCTCTATCCGCTGAGCCAAACTGGCCAGAGCTCATGAGGTTTTTGATCCTAAGGGACTCCCTCCCTGTCAATGTGCTGGCGGGTGGCAGGGAAGCCGCCTGGGAGGGGAGAGGGTCGCCTGGAGTGTGCGCTGGAGGGCGTGACCTAACATCTGAGCCAGGGAGCATGACCCCTGCCGCCCCGTCTGCTGCGCCTGAACAGGGGCTGTGAGTGTGTCCATAAGTGTGTGCACCCTGGGTGTGTGTGCGAGTGTGAGCATGCAAGGGAGAGAGAAACCCAAGATAACTGGCTTCTGCACCCCGTTTCTCCCCCTTCGGGCTGGTACACTAGCTCCCGGGCATCAGCGATGGGACTCCCTCCATGCTGCCCTGTCGGTGTCAGAGCTGCCTCATGGCACAAGGTGGATGCTGAGCTCCAGCCCTCACTCCTGCGGCAGGAGGGGGGAGGGGAAGGGGCCTGCCACCTTCCAGCGAGGGGGCGTGAGGACTCTGGGCTTCCCAACCCGGGGATGTTGAGCTGGTGGGGATTTGGGGGTCCTCTACGCTTGCTGCATAACTGCTCTGATGGGGAAACGGAGGCCCAGGTCAGGCCTCCTCCCCCCACAACTCAGGGCTGGTGAGAGCCGAGTTTGGTGCGGTCAAGAAGGCCAAGCACACCCGGCCAGAGGGTTCAGGGGTTGAGCGTCGACCTGTGAATCAGGAGGTCAGGGTTCCAGTCCCGGTCAGGGCACAGGCCCGGGTTGCAGGCTCGATCCCCAGTGGGGGGCGTGCAGGAGGCAGCCGATCAATGATTCTCTCATCATTGCTGTTTTTATCCCTCTTCCCGCTCCCTTCCTCTCTGACATCAATTTTAAAATTTTTTTTAAAGAAAGCCAAGCCTGCAGCAGCCAGCACACAGCTCAGCACAGCCAGCGCAGACACGGGGAGCCCACAGGGCCAGGGCCAGGGCCACCCTTGGCCCAGGCAGGCTGGGCGCTCCTCCCCACACCCTCCCCCTGCCCTCCCCCTGCCCACTCCTCTGCTCAGGAGGCCACAGGGCCTGCTCCAGCCCCTCCCACCTCCTCCCACTCCCCTCAACCTGCACCCCCTGGGCTGAGGGGGTGGGGAAAGTCCTGCCTTGGCTCACCCCTGCCTCCCCTTTCTCCTCTCCAGCCCTGTCATTACTCTTGCTCCTCCCCCCTCGCTGCTCTGCAGCCCCCCCCCACCCCCCAGGAATGGGAGGCAGATGAGCGGATGGAGGCAGGAAGCCAGGGGGAGAGAGGTGGACTTCCCCAGGCACATAGCCAGTGGCTGAGGCCTGGTCAGCCCTCCGTGTCCAGCAGAGGGAGAGGAGGGCAGACGGGGAAACTGAGGCAGTGTAGGTGGGCTGGGAGGAGCCAGTGCTGGCCTCCAAGTTTATTCTCCTAAATGGGCAGGAGAGGACGATACGGGGCAGGGTGCTGGCTGCCAGGGATGAGCCGGGCAGGGCGAGGGCCGCTCCACTCAGGATCCCACGGCCCCGCGGCCCAGGAGCAGGCTGAGCAGGAGGGCGGTGGCCACGGTTCCAGGGCTGCCCTGAGGGCCTCTCGGCCCGGCGCCCTGCCAGGGCGGGGCGTTGCACAGGGCGGTCTGGCAGCAGGACATGGTCATCGCCATTCCCTCCACCGTCCTGGCCACCGGCTTGCAGGCATCTGTGCACCACCCTGAGTAGGTGGTCAGAGGCCCCGATTCTGTGGGGGCGGGGGGGAAAAAGGGTGAATCACGCTGGAGGGGGTCAGGGAGGAGGCCCTCGGAGGGCTGTGTGCCTGGGGGTGCCTGTGGCCACTCACCAGTGTCCCACCGAGAAAGGATGGCCTTGCAGAAGCGCTGGCTGAGGGAGCAAGGGAGGGTCTGCTGGCAGGCCTCCTCCTTGTGCAGGGATGAGCAGGTGTAGCACCGCAGCCCTGGGGACAGGGGCTCAGCCTCGGCCACCACCCACACCCCTCCCGCTCCCCGCCCCACATGCTGGGGAGTAGGGGCCACACAGGCTGGATGCTGGCGATGCCCTGGGCTTTATCCCTGTGGGTGGGACAGAGGGGTGGCCCCGCCATCTGGGTGAGGGGTTGGGTGGGTCTTGTCTGTGCTCCGTGCTCTGCTCTAAGCCCCTGCAGCTCCCTGCCCCCTGCAGCAGCCCACCCGAGCCCTGGCCGGGTCCCCCACCTTGCCCTCCCCGCCCGGGCCAGGCTCTCCTGGGTCTGTTGTTCCTCCTCAGCTGAGGATATTTTCCCATTGGCTGTTAGGGAGCGTGGGAGAGAGAGGGAGAGACAAGGAGGAACATCGATTGCTTGCCTCCTGCATGAGCCCCGACCAGGGCCCGGGCCAGGGAGGAGCCTGCAACCAGGAACGTGCCCTCGACCGGAATCGAACCCAGGACCTTTGGGTCCACAGGCCGACGTTCTATCCACTGAGCAACACCAGCCAGGGCTGCTCCTGTTTTTCTGACGGGACTCAACCGGGGTCTGTGTGTCCCTGGCCTCTCCATCCTGGGGCTATGCTGCACCCCTCTGCTTGGTGAACCCCTGCTCAACCCCCCTCCCCAGCACCATTGCCCTCCCCCTAGTGGCTCTGCCGCACTCTTACTCGGGGGGCAGTGGAGGGTCCCGGTGAGGGTGCCGGTGAGGGTGCACTGAGTGTCGGGCTCCCCTCCTTCCCAGCACCCCCCGGCTGGGAAGCAGGTCCCCAGGAGGCCTATCTGTCCATCACTCCGGCCCACGCCTGGCCTGGACTCCGTGCCCACAGGAAGGGCTGAGCAGGAGAAGCGCATGCCCGTGGCCGGGGGTCAGTGGACAGTACCTCTGTCCCCGCCGTCCCCCTCGGCCTCTTCGTCCTCCTCGTAGTCCTCATCGTAGCTCTCTGGCCCCAGGTCCTCGTCCTCCGCCCCGTCCTGTGGCTGTCCTCTCCCTGGCCGCGGGGATCCCGTGAGCCTCCGCTCCTCGGTGCAGAGGGCGCAGCTGGGGGTGGGGGGTGGGCCCTGTGTGCACCCCGCCCCGTCTCCCGGGCTGCTCACCTCCCCGAGTGTGACCGGGCACCGTGCTCACAGCACCAGCTGCTGTGACCGGCTCTGGACAGCAGCCCCCCCCCC